CATATTTTTGTGGAAACTTTGATACCCTTTTTCATGATTTTTTTGATGAATAGAAAATTCAAATGAACATAATTTGAAATATTAATAAAAAAAAAAAAACATATTCATTAATAAAAAGAAAAATTTAGTTGCATTTTAAGTGTCTTTACTGTCACTTTTAATAAATTTATAATGCATCCATGTTGAATAAAAGTATTGATTTCTTTCAAAGAAAAAACTTTTGTCAGAAATAAAAAATCTGATCAAACATGACAGTTGCGTAGATCTAGATGATTCAGTACTGTGCACTTGGGTCAATAACTCAATTTCAATTAAATAGAAACAATCAGCAGTTAATATGGTGAAAGGTCTCTGGTGGAGCCCTGCACGGGCCTCAAATATAGGCCCTAGCCTGGCCCTGGCCCGAGATGCTCAGACCCTAGCCTGGCCCTTGTCCAACAGCTCTTCAGAATTCTTGGCCCGAGTCCGTCTATTTTTCCCTTCTCCCAAAACAGCTTACTACTGTTTCAGCTACAACAACATTTTAATACAGTAGCCTATGTGTGCTCTGCGCGTATATGGGCACAATAAAAGGAGAGAAGCTAAATGAGCCCGAGTCCAACCCGAGCCTGATCTGTAAAAAAAATAAAATAAATGGCCCGAGCCCAGCCCGAATAGACTCGACAGGCTTGCAGACCTCTCCGGGGGCACTATTTAAATGCAGAGGTATGGCACAATTTCCAAAAAAGCACTGGGCTTATTCTTCAAATGAATATACATCAATGGAACTGTGCATAAAATGCGGTGATTGGTCAAAAGTGGGCGACGACTTCTTGTTTTATCAACCCCGAATCCCACAAAAAGTGTTTCTCATGATTGAAAAAGACTGGTGACAAGCAGCAAGTTAGATTCACTGCACTACTGTGGTAGGATTTAATTACACTACGCTGAATTGCCTTACAAGATCTATTCTCAAACATGTAGGCATAATAAATGGAAAATTCATCAGAATGACAGCAAGCTAAATAAAAAGCTAAACTGAACATTGAGATCTTTATCAGAGAGTGACAACGTGGCTCCAATGAGCTCCGGGATAAATTCAGGCTTACTGACAGAGACATGAGCCAATTTCACAGATATCTGATCTGCTGCAAACAGATCAGGGCTCACATGTATCTCACCATCATAGCACTGATCCAGGAACAGTTTTTCGCAGTTAATGCCACTGCACTGGATAAGATGAACAGACTAGAGCCTGACCGATATTATCGGCCGATATGAGCCTGTCCCCGATATATTGGTATCGGCGAATATGCCGCCGATATGCCGCTGATATTAACTTTTTTTTTAAAGAACATATAACGCAGATTAAATGCTTCTGAATGGTGTTATTACTTAGTTTGTCCAGCAGAGCGCGCTCCATTGTTTGCTACTGGACCCAGGTCAGTGTAGTGTAGAGATGCGCGGATGAGCTCAAACTTCACTCGAGTCCTCTGCTTCAAATTATCCGCTCGCCACCCACCCGCACCTATATTCTTTGTTTTGCATGATGATATGATGAATGGATGGTTCATTTTAACAGCAGATTCAGTGACGTTAGAGACTAGAGCTGATCTGCGCTTCACGGCACGCATCTGCGGCGCATTACGGCCAACGGAGCTGATCGCGGCCACTCAATGCTGGTGTTTACCGGCCGCGTTGCGGCCCAGAACTCATTGAATGCTTATCACATTGGTCACATCACATTGCACGGCGCGACAAAATACAATAGAATTCTATTGTATTTTGTCGCACCGCTCGCATCCGGTGTAGAATAGAACCCATTATGTTGTCTACACCGGATTCAGTCAACTGATGCCTCGTTCTATTTATGACGTGCTGACAGAAGTTCAAATGATTTTCAACGGTCGCTTTGACGCGTTCTGTTGCAGCGCAGACACGTTATACTGTACTATAATATAGCCTACACATAAAGAATATTGGCCAATATATCGGTAGCGGTCTTTTTTTACTCCCTAATATCGGTATCGGCCCCCAAAAAACCCATATTGGTCAGGCTCTAGAACAGACTAGCAATGAATCCTAGACCTGCAGTCTAAGACACTGAAAGTGATACAGACTGAGATCATTTTACACTACAGCAGAGTCAGTGCAGCTACCATGCTTGAGAGAATACATGTAATACACGTTACATAAGGTGACGTGTACACAAAGACAAACAACATACTCAAATCACCAATACAGCAAAAAATACAAGGCACAAAGTGTCGAGCGGTGGTAAGTAACCTTTGCCCTTGTTAAAGGAAAGCAGTGAAAAGACTAAAGGAAATGACTCCCTGGTAATTTATCAAGGCAAAACAAACTCAGAAGGAACTATATTCTCTCTTACCAGTAACTTTACTCCACAAACAAGGAACTGTACCGCTTATAGCTAGAAAATAACACCACTGTATTGCCAGCATTCAGAAAGTTCAGTTTATAACTGCAAAAACATCCTCTGCATCAAGGTTCTCCTACTAAGATACCCATGGTGAAGTTCACAAATCTAAATTCACTCAAAATGTGTTTAAACCACACACAAACCCCAGATCACTTTAGTTATTGATCTCAAAATTATTTTTAATTTAAATTTAACTGTAAACAAAAATAGAATAACTTAATTTTAAACAAAGACAAATATACAATTCAGATGAATGTTTATTTAAAATTTAAAGGGGTCATATGATCCTTTTTTAAAGATCATTATTTTGTGTATTTGGTGTAACAGAATATGTTGACATGCTTTAATGTTCAAAAAACACATTATTTTTCAAATAC